AACTCAGGATCTTGCTTCGGTCACAAATCTTGTCCAGTTCTACGCGGTGATGCATTTCGGATAAACTTTCTTGTTTATTCGTTTTGTTTCCAGCCAAGTGTTAGAGCACAGGTTGTTGGTAGATACATAAGGCATTTAACCACTGCGGCCTTAGTGGTAAGGGAGTGATTAGTTCTGAAATTCAGATAAGGATCGGTATATGTTGGTTTTCTTTAAACCGACACAGAGAGACAACTCGCTTTACAGTCCAGGAATGGAATTATGCCACCTTCAACTTCTTTGATCGTAAATTGTATTTGCGGTGTTGCGTTGTTCATTTGCATCAACAGTTCGTTCATATTAACTTCCTGACAGATGATGAAAGTGTCTTCATCGTAGCACCATCTCAACGACGTGGAACTGACAACGGCGTTCTCAAATTTCTTCATGTATAGGTTGGTTAAATTTGAAATCCCATCAAAACTCCACCTGTCTGTTGGCAGGACTTTCCGTTGAATGCAAATTGTATTTTCCAGGCAGAAGTTCACGCATTTAGGAACCTAATCAATGGTGAGAGACGTATTCTGTTTCCAACTTTGCACCGTATTGAGTTGTTATTTCACCATGACTTCCATGACTTGTTGAACCGGAACACGTGAAAAGAGATACAGCGCCAAAGCTCACTATGATCTCTTTTTCCTGGATGTTCTGAGTCGATGGAATTTTTAATCGATAGGCCAGGATCAGGAACAAAATTGTTTGGGATGGCTTCGAACGGCTTTGAACGGGGCTTGTTGGATGCCTTTCTGATTTAGATCTGTCGTGTTATGAATCGGGACTGTGGACTATAAATGTCAAAAACATGGATTAGCCTAATCGAAGGGCTTGCAAAATCAAGGCTATCTCGATCCGATTTAGGTTAACAAAGGTCCATTTCGCTGCTACTTGTCCAACATGACGAGCGCGAGACGGTTGATGGCCAAGATCCTGCATGTCAGCAATCATAGATATTAGCTCAAAAACATCGAACGGCTGATCTTTGCCAACAGATTCATAGGAATACTGGTGTTTCTTTACTGACTAATGAAGGCTGAAAATTCTGACCAAAACCTGATCCCATTTTGAGTACAATTGTCGTGTGTAAATGATTCAAGTTAAAGATTTTTTATTCATCATTATTCATGTATCTCATGATGTCAGATTGCTTTGAGCTGTTGTGTTGTTTATGAATGAAAAATGCCCATTTTGCAGAAAGGCTTGAACATTTTGCTATGATATTTCTTCTTGCATGCAAATCAGTCATGTACTTTGTGCTGTACTCGTTTCAAGAAGTGCATAACAGCTGCAGTTTATGGTTGTACTTCCGTCATTTTTGATGATAAAGTTGGTGTACTGTTGTCATGTAAGAGCATTAAATATACACAAACGGAAGATATATCCATCTTTCTCTGAGCTTGTCCTCAGATTGTGTCGTATATAACAGTTTAAAGGCATAAGGTGTATGAGCTAATGTATCTTTAACTGGCCGTTTCTGGGTTCATGAGAAAGTTGTGCTTCTTACCTGATAGTTCAAAATACGCGACACCGTATTTTGTCCCGAACAGATGTATTGTTTAGAACATCGTTGGCTTCGACGTGTAATGAAAGCTAAATGGCACAGCCGCATAGAGAATGACTCTATCATCGTTTGAGTACAAGTTTTCGCGACAGATTTGGAAAACGATGGTAACATTGGTAGGCCAACTGGTTTAGCAAAAACTTTGCTTCCGCCTGCGAGCATGTAATATCGACGAATAATGTACAGGTATACCTGCATTTACAGAGAAATTGCCCCCTCTACGATTCAGTATTCGGTGCTTTACACAAAGGAGGTTGCAGAGCTGCTGTTACAGTGAACATCACAAACTAGAGACGTTTCACTAATGCAAACGGCCTTAGGTGATGATCGCTGTAAGTAAACACAATCATGCTCTTGTCCCTTTGACGTTGTCCATGCCGAAACCAGATTTAGTGCAGTAGAAATGAAATGAGGGATTTTGTGGTCATGTGTTTTGCAAGTGTTGGTCATGTAAAGCGAGACATTGTTGATATAATGTTGCAGG